CACACGAGAGAACCGACGGGGAAGGTATTCTGAACAAGATCATGGTCGTGGCGATCTTTTTGGAGGGCTTGGTTATCGGCTGTGAAGGACCGTGCAAGTTGACGACACTATTCGGCATATTCGGCCATTTCAGAAACTGGGCTGAACTCTGAGGCATCAGGATTGTATGGCAGAATTGTGTCGAGTGTGTTGCATGGGTCACGACCATATAAAGGAAAAATGGAGAAAAGCCTGTTGTTGATTGAATCACCGTATTGTAGGCGTACGTCACGAAAGGAAGAACAACGTCCCAGTTGGAGTGGTCGGAATCAATATACATAACGAGCATGTCTCCGAGGGTTCTGTTGAAACGTTCCGTTAGGCCGTTGGTCTGAGGGTGGTAGGCTATTGATGTGCGGTGTACCGTACGGCATGAATGTAGGAGCTGCTGCAGAACTTCGGACAAAAATACGCGTCCTCTGTCACTCAGGAGCTCCCGTGGTGCAACATGACGAAGAACAAACCAGTGCAAGATGAAGGTTGCAACGTCACGAGCACCAGCCGAAGGTAGCGCTGCCGTTTCGGCGTACCTTGTCAGATGGTCGGCAGCCACAATCACCCATCGATTGCCACCAACAGAGCACGGTAGCGGGCCGTATAGGTCAATCCCAACACGGTCGAATGGGCGTGCAGGACATGGCAAAGGCTGCAGTTGACCGGGTGAATGAGGGAATGTCTTACGCTGCTGACACTGGGAACATGAGCGAATGTGTTTGCGTACAAACGTGTACATACCCCGCCAGTATAGTAACGTTGGCGGATCCGATCATACGTCTTTAGCGCACCGGCGTGTGCGTGTTGCGGTTCAGCATGAAAATATTTGCAGATATCAGACCGCATATGGCTGGGTATGACTAGCAGCCATTTACGACCCGTCACTTGATAGTTGCGACGGTATAACAGGCCATCCCGTATGGCGAAATGCGTTGCTTGGCGGCGAAGAGCACGCGGGTAACCGGAAGTTGATGCGTGAGAAAGCATATTCAGTAGCGAGGCGATCCAAGGGTCCTTCCGCTGTTCGGATGGCATGTCTGTGACGTTGACGGCAGAGAGGGGAAGGTCCAGGGCTGATATATCCGTATCATCAGATTTCACGGGTGATCGTGAAAGCGCATCTGCGTCAGAGTGCTTTCGCCCCGATCGGTAGACGACGCGTATGTCGAATTCCTGGAGGCGTAGTGCCCAACGTCAGAGGTGGCCAGGAGGATCTTTCAGCGAAGCCAACCAACAGAGTGCGTGATGGTCAGTTACCACATCAAAAGTTTGGCCGTACAAATAGGGGCGAAACTTGTTTGACGCCCACACAATCGCGAGGCACTCTTTTTCCGTAACAGAATAGTTACTGAAAAAGACTTCTGCCTTAGTGAGGGCGCGGCTGGCATAGGCGACCACATACTCCGTAAAACCTGGCTTGCGTTTCGCGAGTACTGCACCAAGGCCGACGCCACTTGCATCGGTGTGTACTTCGGTTGGCGCAGTAGGGTCGTAATGGCGCAGTACGGGTGGTGAGGTAAGGAGTTGGTGCAGTGTTGCGAAGGATTCGTCACAGGCTGCTGTCCAATTCGAAAGATCTGCAGGGCCAGCAAGGAGTTTGGTGAGTGGAGCGATGATGGAGGCAAAGTTCCGGACAAAGCGACGAAAATAGGAGCACAGGCCCACAAAGCTCCGTAGTTCTTTAACAGTAGTCGGCTTAGGAAATTCGGCAACAGCACGAAGCTTGTCAGGGTCGCGAAGAATGCCGGCTTTCGAGACGACATGACCAAGTATGGTGAGTTGTTTAGCCCCGAAGTGACACTTCTTCAGGTTAAGCTGAAGCCTGGCGTTTGTAAGGCACTGTAGAATCTTACGCAGACGAGTGAGATGCGAAGTGAAATCGGGTGAAAAAACCACAACGTCATCAAGATAGCATAAGCAAATGTTCCATTTGAGACCACGTAAAATGCTGTCCATCATTCGCTCGAATGTGGCAGGCGCATTGCAGAGTCCGAATGGCATCACGGTAAATTCATAGAGGCCATCCGGGGTGACAAACGCCGTTTTTGGACGATCAGACTCAGCCATTGGGACCTGCCAATAACCCGAGCGAAGGTCAAGCGAGGAAAAGAATTCTGCACCTTGGAGACAATCGAGAGCGTCGTCTATGCGGGGAAGAGGGTAAACATCTTTCCTCGTAATGTTGTTTAGGCGCCTGTAGTCTACGCAGAACCGGACTCAACCATCCTTTTTTTTGACGAGTACAACTGGGGAAGACCAAGGATTACAAGAAGGCTTGATGACTCCGCGCTGTAGCATGTCGTCTACTTGTTCTGCAATTACCCGACGCTCCACTGGTGACACACGATAAGGGCGCTGGCGCAAAGGAGTACTCTTTCCTGTGTCAATTGTGTGCACAACGGTGTTCGTTCTTCCTAGCACTGCTTGGGGAAAGTCAAACGAACGCTTGAATTCATGCAGCAGGGTAACAAGCTGCTCTCGTTGAGCCGGGGCGAGATGGTTGTCAATAGAACGGTGAAATGCATCGGTAGACACGCTGTTTAAGGCAAAGTGAGGAACCAACGCGTTCAGCTCCATATTCGGCTTGGTGTCGAAGAAATCGGCAGGCACAATAGTACCTTCATCGATGAGCTGAATGTGGCCGAGCGTCTCGTTGCGGCGCAAACTGAGGGGGCACGAGTTGGGATTGGAAATAAGTATCCCGGTAGTGTCTTGACAAAGCTCAAGAATGGCGAATGGCAGTGATGTGTGGTGGCGGCTACCGAAGATGTCAGATGGCGTGAATAGGACGGTAGCGTCAGAAAGTGAAGCACAGCAGGCAGGAACAAACTGGGCGCTGAAAGGAGGAAGGTCTATGTCCGTAGCGACGACAAGGTTAGCCACACTAGATACGGCCGCATCAACAGAAGGCGCATCACCAAACGGAAACAGCTCCACTTCGGCCCGAGCGCAGTCCACGACGGCGTGATGTCGTGATAAAAAAATCACATCCTAGGATGACATCGTGGGAACATGAAGCCAACACGTGAAATTCAATGGTGTACAACACGTCTTGAATCACAACTTTTGCTGTACATGACGCGACGGGCTCAATTTGTTGGGCGCTCGCAGTACTAAGAGAAACCACGGGAGAAAGCATCGTCACTTTACGAAGAGAGCGGCAGAGTCTCTGACTAATCACAGATATCGCGGCACCGGTATCGATGAGTGCGAGTGTTCGTACACCTTCGACGATTACATCGATAAGATTGGCGGGAGACAGGCGAGGACTTAAACGATTAGACGATGACGCAGCTCGTGCCTCCGGAGCTGCGGCAGTTAGTTTTCCGTCTCCATGGAGGTGGGTCGTCGACGCATAGGCGACACGGAACGACGACTTGGTGAAGGTGAAGGCGAGCGGGAAGTAGAACGTCTAGAAGCGAATGTTCGGGCGCCGGAAGCAGTTTGCGCATCGCGTTCGTGAACTTCAGGTGGTACGTGAGGCGCGTGGTATAAAGGTCGAAACGAATAGTCAGGATATCTTGGTGCGTTAACTGTGAAGCACCGGCGACATAGACGTGCAAGTGACCTGGAATTCCGCAAAAGTAACATATAGGCCGGTTGCCAGCAGTGCGCCAAGGATTTCCGGCGTGTTGCTATGTAACTGGAAACGGCGCGGTGGACGGTCGCACAGGTTGTGGCGTATACGTTGGCAGACGAGATGGAGGAGGCATTGCCGTGACGGCCGCTTAAGTCAGTGGCGCGGCAACAGGCGTTGGTTGAGAGGCAGGCGTAGGTAATGGCAACGCCTCGGAGACCTGCTCCTGAATAGCCTGTCTTATTGTCGGCGTTAGGCGGTTCGTTGGTGCTTCGGTCGTCGGCAAATACGAGAGACATGAAAGCTGTCGTGCGACCTCTTCGCGTACATATTCTTTTATCTGCTCCAGCAGAGAGCTGTCACCACCGACGGCCAGGGCAGCGAGAGAGTCGTCTGCAGTCGTCGACCTCCGAACTGCTGCACGTTGTTTCCGAATCTCTTCCAAGCTCTGGCACAAGGCCACAAGTTCGAATACGGTACTTGGGCTCTTTGCCAGCAACATTTGATAGGCATCATCGTCTATGCCTTTCAAGATATTGCCGCAGAGACTGCCTTCTACCAGGAGAACCAGCGCGACGCTATGCAAGCGTCTACAACTACCAGGAGAACCAGCGAGACGCTATGCAAGCGTCTACAACGTAGCGCACCTGCGCGCGCTGTAGCAACGCGAGTCATTGCTCCTCGTGCTTGGGCTCGCGACGGTGGCCTGATCGACGGGTTGTGAAAAAAGGTGTTCGAGAGAGACGCTAGTGTGGAACGCTTTAGCGGACTCAGTTATTTACCTATTTTTCTGGGCACAAGTTCGCCCTTTAATAAAGCTATTGTTTGTGTCACCCTCTTGCAATACGTGACATTCTGGTGGAGGTGCGGGGGTATGATTGGAAGTCCCTCAGGCGCAAGAGAGCGGAGCCCCGACCCTCAACGACTGGAACCTGGCGAATTGACTCCTGTACACCAGCGTTCGAGCCGTCGTCTTCGAGGAGACCCGCCTGAATTCGGACCGCTCACCACTGCTCCAGCAACGCAAGCAGCTTTTACAAACGACCCCACAACGATGGCCACCGCAGGTTCTACATCCGAGCTCATCGTGTCACCACCGTGCCTGCCTGAGCCCTTCCACGGTGACTCGCACGAAGATGTAGAAGACTGGCTGGAACATTTCGAGCGAGTCGCAAGGACCAATGCCTGGGATGAGACAAGGAAACTTGGACGCGTGTACTTTGCGTTGCAGGATTCAGCGAAGGTGTGGTTCGAAAATCACGAAGCGGTGATAACAACATGGGAAGATTTTCGACAACACTTGCTCGCTGCGTATGCCAGCACCGACCGCCGAGAGAAGGCAGAGAACGCTCTCCAGTCCAGGAGTCAACGCACGAATGAGAGTGTCAGCATGTATGTCGAAGACATGTGCCGGCTCTTCAAACGCGCTGATCCGAACATGACGGAAGAGAAGAAACTGCGCCACCTAATGCGTGGAGTCAAGCAGGACTTGTTTGCTGGGTTAGTTCGCAATCCACCACGCACGGTTGCCGAGTTCCGCACCGAAGCAACAACCATAGAGAAGGCGCTACAGCAGCGTGCCCGTCATTACAACCGAGACGCCAGTAGCGCACCAGTGGACGTCCTATCGGCAGGCCAAAGTAACAACAGTGAAACGCTAAGAGAACTGGTGCGATCCATTGTAAGGGAAGAGATTCAGAAGTTGATGCAGCCACAAGTGATGCCAACAGTCTCGACCCTCGCCGCCGTCATTCGTGACGAAGTCCGGCACGCCATCCTTCAGCCGGAACCTGAGCCGCAACCTGTTCGACTGGAACAACCACTGCAGACACGTCGCATGCCAACGTACGCGGACGCTCTACGCCAGCCTGCCGTGCACAATGCTTCTTTCGTAGCCCCCAGTACACGCCCGTCGGCTTCGCATGGCTCGCCCTTTCTCGGAGAGCTGAGACCACGAAAAAGCGACGTGTGGCGCACACCCGACTGGACGCCGCTTTGCTTTCATTGCGGAGAGGCTGGACATCTTTACAGAACGTGCCCATACCGGAGGGCCGGCCTGCGGGGGTTTTCTGTGAACGCACCATGCCCGCGTAATGGTGAAAGACCCATGGAGATAGAAGATTACCTGTCAAGGCAGCAACTCCCATCTGCTAGTTTTCAGCACCAGCCAAGGTCACCGGCGCCGAAACGTTACCGATCACCGAGCCCCCGGCGTCCAAGTTCCCCATTCTCAGGTCCACCAAGACGTTCAACGAGCCCGCGGCAGGAAAACTAAGTCCAGCGACCTGTGGAGGCAAGGCCGCTGTTGTTCGACAAGGCGAAGATCCTCCGTCAAGACCCGAGGGTAGCAGCGACAGGCAGAAAAGAACGGCTAAGATAAGTAAGGAATCAATTTCTTCGGACTTGCGCGTTACGGTGGACGAGCGGGAATTGAGCGTTTTAGTCGATACCGGTGCGGATTATTCAGTCGTCAGCTACGCGTTCGCGAGGGATCTCAAGAAAGTTTTGACGCCGTGGAGTGGTCCACAAATAAGAACGGCTGGGGACCACAGGATAACACCAGTGGGAAGATGTACCGCGAGAATAGGAATTCAGGGTGCTACTTACGTGGCTGAGTTTATTGTGCTTCCGGAATGCTCAAGGGACGTAATTCTCGGGATGGATTTCTTGCTAGCGAACGGTGCCATAATCAACCTACAAAATTCTAGCGTTTCCTTCTCGACGAAGCTGGCCATAGACGAGAAGGAGGTAGAGAGCACTGCATTGCGGGTTATCGACGAAGACATAACCGTGCCACCACGATGCAGCGTGCTGGTTGGCGTCAGAAATGACACATTTGCCGATTCCGAAGGCATAGCGGATAGCAACGTCGAGCTGCTACTAAAGAAAGGTATTTGTGTAGCCCGGGGCATCATTCAATTACGTGATGGGTGCGCCAGTGTGTTGCTCACAAACTTCGGAAATGCAATACAGCATGTTGCAAAAGACACTGCCATTGCCTTTCTGCACAGCTTTACTGCAGCGACAGATTTGTGTGGCCTCACGTCAGCACCACCTGCTTCGGGAAGTACGGATGATGTCGGAGCTGCGGTTTCAATAAATAGAAGTCTATCATCAGGCGAAAGGCAAATCATACAGGACCTCATAAGAGACTTCTCAGAGTGTTTCTCCACCTCGTCAAAAGTACGTCGCACGCAGATCGTTAAACACCGAATAATAACTGACGAGCAAACAAGACCTGTTCATCAAAACCCGTACAGAGTTTCACCCAAAGAACGAGAGGTCATAAAGGGTCAAGTGCAAGAGATGCTGGAGGATGATGTCATCCAACCATCCAACAGTCCGTGGGCATCGCCAGTAGTGCTTGTGAGGAAAAAGGACAACACGTTGAGATTCTGCGTTGACTACCGGAAACTGAACAGCGTGACCAAGCGCGACGTATACCCCTTGCCACGTATCGATGATACATTAGATCGCCTACGGCATGCCAGATATTTCTCGTCATTAGATTTAAAAAGCGGGTATTGGCAAATTGAAGTGGATGAAAGAGACCGCGAAAAGACGGCTTTCGTAACTCCGGACGGCTTGTACGAATTTAAAGCACTCCCATTCGGCCTTTGTTGTGCGCCGGCGACATTCCAGCGCATGATGGACAGTGTTCTATCGGGTCTCAAATGGCAGTCATGTTTAGTATACTTGGACGATGTTGTGGTATTTTCTGCAACCTTTGAACAGCATATAGAACGACTACGTTCAGTGCTTCACGCCATCCAGTCGGCCGGCTTGACTATTAAACCGGAAAAGTGTCAGTTTGGATATGAAAAGCTTCGTTTTCTCGGTCATGTGATCAGCGCTGAAGGTGTTGGCCCGGATCCGGACAAAACTGCGGCCGTTGCGCGATTCCCCAAGCCGAGAGACAAGAAGGAGGTGCGTCGATTTCTGGGCTTGTGCGCTTACTACAGACGATTTATAGAAAATTTCTCGAAAATTGCTGAACCTCTGACCAGACTCACAAAAGAGGAAGAATCATTCGTTTGGCATAAGGAACAAGAGAGAGCTTTCGAGGAACTAAAGAACCGTTTACAAGCCCCACCGATCCTCGCACATTTTGATGAAACTGCGGACACGGAAGTCCATACAGACGCAAGTAATCTTGGTCTCGGCGCGGTATTAGCTCAATGGCAAAATGGAGAAGAGAAAGTCATAGCCTATGCCAGTCGCACCCTGTCAAAAGCTGAAAAGAACTATTCTGCAACGGAAAAAGAGTGCTTGGCAGTTATATGGGCGATTAGCAAGTTCAGGCCATATCTCTACGGCAGGCCGTTCCGCGCCGTCAGCGACCACCATTCACTTTGCTGGCTGGCGAGCTTAAAAGACCCGTCGGGACGACTTGCGAGATGGAGCCTCAGGCTCCAAGAATACGATATTACAGTTGTATATAGGTCGGGAAGAAAACACAGCGATGCTGATTGCTTATCACGCTCGCCACTGGACTCTACCTCTTCGGAAGAGGACGACTTTCCGTTCCTTTGTGTTGTGAAGGCTTCAGATATCGCCGAGCAGCAACGATCCGACACAGAACTGCTCCCATTGATAAAATTCCTCGAAGGGCACGACTCCCAAGTTCCACGTGTATTTAGGAGAACATTATCGTCGTTCTGCCTCCGTGATAATGTACTCTACAAAAGGAACTTCAGAAGCAACAAAGAAAAGTTCTTACTCGTTGTGCCGCAAGTCATGAGACGTGAAATATTACACGCTTGCCATGATGAACCGTGCTCGGGTCACTTAGGTGTCAGCCGGACATTCGCCAGAATTCATCTGAAATATTACTGGCCCAAGCTGTTAGCATCGGTACAGCATTATGTGAAGACATGCCGCGAATGTCAAAGGCGCAAAACACCACCTCTGAAAACTGCCGGCCTGCTCCAGCCCATAGACCCACCTGAGACTCCTTTTCAGCAAATTGGAATGGATCTTCTCGGGCCGTTTCCAATGTCATCCTCAGGAAAGAGGTGGATTATTGTCGCAACCGACTATTTAACGCGGTACGCAGAAACTGGCTGCCTGGAACGAGGAACGGCTGCGGAAGTTGCCAAGTTCTTCGTTCACAACATAGTTCTGCGACATGGCGCCCCGATGGTAGTTATCACCGATCGCGGAACAGCATTCACATCGGAGTTGATGCAGTGCCTGATGAATATGACTAATACCACTCATAGAAAAAGTACTGCGTATCATCCCCAAACGAACGGGTTGACGGAACGCCTAAACCGCACCATAGCGGATATGTTGTCGATGTACGTGGACATAGAGCATAAGACGTGGGACGAAATCCTACCTTATGCAACGTTCGCCTACAATACGGCAGTACAGGAGACCACCCGCATTCCTCCATTTGAGCTGGTCTATGGCCGTATGGTGACTACAACACTCGACGCTATGCTCCCTGTCGATAACGACAATTATGAGCCATCTGACGTTGAAGAATTCCTACAAAGAGCTGAAGAAGCGCGCCAACTAGCGCGACATCGAATACGTCAACAACAATGTAGGGACGCGAGCTACTACAACCTGCGCCGCAGAGAAGTCAAATATCAGCCAGGCGATCAAGTGTGGGTGTGGACACCAATACGCCACCGTGGGCTGTCAGAGAAACTTCTTCGACGCTACTTTGGTCCATATAAGGTCATCCGCCAACTCAGTGACATAACTTATGAAGTTATTCCTGAAGGACAAGAGCGCTCAAGACGTCAAAACCATGCAGAGGTCGTACATGTAGCCCGCATGAAGCCCTACTCCGAGAGATGCTGAAGCATTCCCCCTTGCGTACTTCCCCCAACCGCGCATCGGGACGATGCGTATTTCGGAGGGGGAGTAATGCCGCAGAGACTGCCTTCTACCAGGAGAACCAGCGCGACGCTATGCAAGCGTCTACAACTACCAGGAGAACCAGCGAGACGCTATGCAAGCGTCTACAACGTAGCGCACCTGCGCGCGCTGTAGCAACGCGAGTCATTGCTCCTCGTGCTTGGGCTCGCGACGGTGGCCTGATCGACGGGTTGTGAAAAAAGGTGTTCGAGAGAGACGCTAGTGTGGAACGCTTTAGCGGACTCAGTTATTTACCTATTTTTCTGGGCACAAGTTCGCCCTTTAATAAAGCTATTGTTTGTGTCACCCTCTTGCAATACGTGACAATATGCCTGATCTTGTTATGTTCGGTCATCTCAGGGTTGAAGCGCCGGCATAAATTGATTACATCTTCAATATAGCTAGTGAAGTTTTCGCCCTGCCTTTATGCGCGTCCGCGTAGGCGCTGCTCAGCACGCAGCTTGCGCACTGCGGGGCGATCGAACACAGCTGCGAGGGTGGTATTGAAACCGGCCCAAGTGGTAAATTCCGTACGGTGGTTTGTGAACCACAGGCTGGCGACGTCTTTGAGATAAAATGGGACATACTCCAATTTCGAGGGGTCGTCCCACTTGTTGGCGGCGCTCACCTTCTCAAACAGCTGCAACCAGTCCTCCACATCTTGGCCCTCGGTGCCGCTGAAGAAGGGCGGATCTCGTTGGCGCAGGGTGGTAGGCACGATGACCAGTTGAGATTGGGCCGTGCTTTGCTGGGTGGTGCCTTGCTCGGTCGTCTGATCAGGCATTGCTGATGTAGTGGGCAGCTTTCGGCTTCGAAGTTCCAGGTTTTCGTACCCAGCACACTTCCACCACTTTGCAAGGGGGTTTATTAGCGACGCCAGGTAATAGGCAGACAGCCGGTACAGAAACAAATGCTCGGGCAGTCCAGTGTCTCCAGCTCGTGCTCCCGCTCGCGCTTCGCACTCAGCGATGGTCCCACTAGTCATTGCCTTGCGAATTCCCCACTGTATACACTTGTAATATTAAGGAGCCCGGCTGGCGTTGAGCGCATCATCAACGTACGCAAACACAGTAGGGAGGCCTCGTGTGACCTCAGAAATGAACCGCTGGAAGGTTTGCGCTGAATTTTGGAGTCCAGAATACATCCCCAGTGTCATAATTTCAAATGCCAGTACGGACTCAATGAAAACGATCGGATAGTGCGGGTCGGCTGAGCAGCGCGAATACAATTATGATGGCATATCGTGTTAAGATTTGTTTTGTTAATAATACACGACATGGTATGTTAGGCACTCGGAGTCGGCGAATACAGGCCAGTAATCTGTCAATAATCAGCCATTTCATGTGAACGCAATTTTGTCCTCTGTGGTTCAATCAACTAACATAGTAAACCAGTCCTCCATATCGTCCCGAGAACATTCCCCTTCTCATGTCATCGAAAATGCTACTGCACTCACAAGAAGCAGTAGCTTGTTCTGGGAGATTGTGATGATGGCAGAAAATGTGTAGTTCATTTAGGGGGCTCATGCACTGTTGATGTTGATGTCTTCCTGCTGCAGTGCGGATCACGTAATTTCAAACGGCCTCTGAGAGCTGAAATACACAGAATTTGCTTACTCCGTTCATACGGTTGTGTCAGTGCGGCTAGCCTCAGTAGTTATTGTTATGTGCACTAAAACCTCCATATTAAAAGAAAGACTATTTCGACTAATCTAACGCAGTTTCTGGCATGAGAACACTTGCTGCGACAAGCACGTGTGTATTGGCCAAGCATGTAATACTTATCGGTAGGTTGGGACGTCAAATGTGGCAATGTATTCGAAAAACGCGCGTTTCATACCCCCCGCAGTGGTCGCAGTCAGGTCGACAAGCGAAATGTACGCCAGGTGGTTGAAATGTCCGGAGCCCTTCTGCATGGCATGCCTGTAAAATATATTGTTATTGGCCATGCCATACCAAGCATATTAAAAATCTGATCCCATGGTTTCGGAAACGACTACCGGATGCACAGTTCACATTATATGTCGAGTATATAACACAAGCTCGTGTGCTTAGATTTAGGTGCATGACAGGGAACATCCGAAGATCGTCAAGACGGCGTCACATATTGTTGTTTGCGGGCACAAAGCTTGCGAAAACTGCTCTTCTGGTTAGTTGGTTTATGATTAGGACAGATATACAAGCGAAAATGACGAAACACTTCAGAAAAAACACGCACAGAAAAAGAACTGAACTCACTGCTGCTATATTGCTTCCAACTCAAAACCCCCTCTAAGGCACGCATCGAAGCAACAGAAATATGAACTATTACAAAAATATAGTCGCTTGATTGATAAGCCGGGTTTATTGTCCCAACACGATGCAAAGAGTGATGAAAAACCACGTGACAAGTGCTTGCCACCATTTCATTTCTTTGGTATATGGGGGCCTACTTTGTGGTTTTAATAATTTTTGGTGGTGCTGCTACCTTTGGTTGATTGTCTTTTACGGCAAACACTTGCCAAGAGGTTTTTCATTGCTCTACTCATCATGTTATATTTCTGTTGCTTCGATGCGGGCCTTCGGAAAGGTTTCCGTGGGAAGTTAGAAATGAATTACGAATTGAGCGCTGTATGTGTGTGTCTGTTTCTTACTCAGTATGTCGTCTTTTTGCGTGGGTCTTTAAAAAAAGGTGTTTAACGATTTATAGTACGTGGTACTCTGGCAGTGAAGAAGGCGTCAAAGATCTCATAAAGGAAGGTTATAGCGTACGGAGGCTGTGAATGGAGAGTGATCGACCCTAAGAGAGACTTGCAACATTATTATAAGATTGTGATATTATACGACGACGACTAAGTCAACTTAGATACCATCGACCACCTCAGTGGCTGCAGTGAGAGGTGAAATTAATTGCGCATGCTCAGACGAGAGGCCATGCGATGAATCGATTGCAGACATTCTAAGAGACACCTCAGCTGCAGCATTCTTTAACCTATATTGAGTATTATAATCTGCAGAAATCTTTTGCACGGGCTATCTACAATGCGTGAACGCGTTAAGAAAAAACACTGTCAATAA